GGTGCTGGGATTAGAGACCTGAGCCACCACCTCGTGGCTCTCATACCTGTAGGATATAAAGCCCTGTAAATTGGGTTAAAACCATTAAAAGCAAACAAAAAACCCCAAACAACTAGAAAGGAGACCAAGAGGGGGTAGAGGTACTGAGGAAGTGGGGGAAGGGCAAAAAGAGCCTTGTGAAGTGTGAAGTGAAAGCAGAAAGGAGACTGAGGGGCACTTACAGGAAAGGGTAGGAGGAAAGGGGGTGGAGAGACTGAAGCCGCAGAAAATCTGCTAACACACACATTGTTTGACATTGCTGTGATGAAACCTGTTGTGGGTATTCACCAGAGAAAACTACTGGCTGGCAACTCTGCTGGGTGTTCAGGATCCCAGTGCAGCCCTGAGCTTTTCCCAGGATGAGCTTTTAAGCACACACACACATGCACACACACACACACCATATTCTGAGTTGACATACTTCCGTTACCAAGGACAGTTAGCCAGAAGCAGAACTACAGAAGCTAAAAAGCAAAAGCAAGGTTAGTATATTTAGAAACTTTTCTAGAATTAAGGGCTCTGACAGATTAGGGTTTTGTTTTCATTTTGACTAGTGGAGCTATGTGCTCAGTTTTATGGACTGGTAACTTTCATCATGGAGTCAGTTGTGCTAATGGTCTGGGGTTCTGTTACAAAACCCAGCCATTGGGATACACACACACACACATACACACACACACACACACACACACACACACTCACACACCCCATTAATGATAACTCGAAAAAATAGAAACAAGCAAGCCCCACATGGTCTGAAAAAGGCAAAAGTTAGAGGTTAGAGCATAACTCAGAGATCAGCCAGAGATGCAGGAAGAGAGGAAGAGAGAATTGTTACTCAGTGGGTATTGTATTGTGTTTCCGTCTGGGGTGATGGAAAAATTACGAAAATGGTGATGATTCAATCATACCACAAAGAGAATTCTTTTGTTGTGTTTTTCGAGACAAGGTTTCTCTGTGTAGCCCTGGTGGTCCTGGAACTCACTTTGTAGACCAGGCTGGCCTCAAACTCAGAGATCCCACCTGCCTCTGCCTCTAAGTGCTGGGATTAAAGGTGAGCGCCACCACTGCCTGCCTCCACAAATGTGCTTTAGGCTCTTATCATTTCTTGGCCTTTTGTCTAAGATCAAGCATAATTTAAGCTATTTAATCATAAATATTGGGATTATGGCATAATATCATCACATCTGGCGAAGGTCACACAGCCAGGAGACACAGAAGTCAGACTGGATTACAGATTCGATACGGTCACTGATATTAAAGCTTTTCCAATGTTGATATCCCATGAAAATTAAGTGATGCTGAGATTGTGTGGGCCGGAGTGACACTGAGAGGTCAGAGGCCACTGGCCACAGTTAAACTTTGTCAGAATGAAACTTCCTCTGAATGGGTGAGCGAGGTTATTTCTCTCCAAAGAACATCACTGAGTGTCAGAGAAGACAGAATGGGCCTGGAGATAGAAATAAGAACTTGTTCACACTAGCACTTCCGGGTGACTGGACAGAAGAGGCAACTCCAAGAACTGCCTGAGAGTAGCAGCCCGAGAGCCAGACAGCAACCTGAAGCTAACTTTCCTCCGAGGCCTTCTCCTTGCTGATGAGATTGGTCAGTCTTGGACAGATCCAAGCTCCTTGCTTGTCTGCAAAGTCGGTCTGTCTATACGTTGAGGACAGTCACACGCAAGCCTTGCCACATGGTATCTCACAGGCCTGGCCTCAGGGTGCTAGTCAAATCTTCAGGCTTCCTATATTACTGATCAGGTTAGGAATTTGATTGTGTCCTCAAGGAGATGAGCTAAAGTCCTATCCTCTAGTATGTACGCCTGTGTCTGTTTTCGGTTGCTAAGGGCACAGTACAAACTGGGTAAGTTATAAAGAAAACAAGTTTATTTTCAATTTGTAGTTCTGGTCCAAGGTCAAAGGACCTCACTCAGTATTAACTTTCTTGCTGGCAAAATACCACGGCAGGCCATTATGGGGCCAAAGACAGGCGTATTTATTTATTTATTCATTTTGTTTTGCGAGACTGGCTGTCCTAAAACTCAGTAGATAGCCAAGGATGACCTTGAACTTCCTGCTTCCACTCTCCAAGTGCTGGAGATTTAGGAGTATACCACGATACCTGGCGGAGACAAGAGATATATGTACTTCCACTGGTCCTTCTGTTCTTCTTATAAATATTTATTTATTTATTATTTATACAGTTAGCCAGAAGAGGGTACCATTGGCCAAGATCTAGCTGACCCCAGGGCTAATAGTGCTCTTTTCAGAATGTTTTATACCTGCTGGCCCCATCGCTCCCATAGCTCTTCCTAATTTGGCTTAAATGACACATTTGCAGGAAAAGTCTGGACTTGGACATTTTGGTTGCCTACCAGAGCAGCAAACCGAATACATCTCTGGTAGTCCTCATCGTGTGTGTAGTTAAATACTTACTTGAATAGTTATCCCCATTTGCCCTGCTCAGTGTTGGTGCCAGTTCAAGTCCTGGCCTGACAGATCCACCAGCAGACGTGCTCGTGCATGGCGCAGTCTCTAGGAGGATGCACTGGATAAAGGACGTGCAGCAGTGGCGTGGTGTCCACATCTGCAATCCCCACACTTGGGCGGTAGAGGCAGGAGGATCAGGAGCTCAAGGTCATCCTCAGCTACACAGGGAGATTGAAGACAGCCTGGGCTACATGAGATCCTGTGCAGGATGTTTAAAGGCCCAGGCAGTGGAGCCACGTCCCTCAGCAACTTTCTCTCCCACTGCAGATGACCTTTCGCTAATCAGTCCAAGTTAGCTTGTAGATCACAGTGCATTCTTCAGCAGGCGCTGCTGGCTTCCCTGCTTCCTTAGTGTACTGGGTGTTTGCTTTTTTTTTTTTTTTTGTTTTTGTTTTTCGAGATAGGGTGTCTCTGTGGCTTTGAAGCCTGTGCTGGAACTAGCTCTTGTAGACCAGGCTGGCCTCGAACTCACAGAGATCAGCCTGCCTCTGCCTCCTGAGTGCTGGGATTAAAGGTGTGCACCACCATCACCAAGCCACTGGGTGGTTTTGTGTGTCAACTTGACACAAGCTAGAGTCATCAGAGGAAGGAACTTCAGCTGAGGAAATACCTTCCTGAGATCCAACTATAAGGCATTTTCTCATTTAGTGATCAATGGGGAAGGGACCAGTTCATGGTGGTTGGTGCCATCCCTGGGCTGCTGGTCCTGCATTTTGTAAGAAAGCAGGCTGAGCAAGCCATGGGAAGCAAACCTGTAAGTGGCCCCCCTCCATGGCCTCTGCATCAGTCCCTGCTTCTTGGCCATGGTGGTTTGTCACAGCTATAAAAACCCTAACTAAGACTCTCTGTCTCCTTCATTCACTGCCCCTGACTTCCAGGCACATCCAATTGTTCCTGAGGAACCTGGCTCAGCACCTTCTGTAGCAGGCATCCACTCCCACTGCCTAGAGTAGTGGATGAATAAAGGGGAGGGAACAAGTAGAAGACAGTGCCCAGACAGAGGCAATGCCAAAAAGTTTGCTTCTAACTGGATATTAAAAACAAACAAACAAACAAACAAGCATATCTATATATTTACTTACTTACTTACTTATTTAATGTGTATGATATTTTGCCTGCATGTACTGCTTTCATGATTCATGCGAGAAGAGACCAGAAGAGGCATCAAATCCCTGAAAATGGAATTAGATATGGTTGTGAACCGTAGATACTGAAACTTAACTTTGTTCCTCTGAAAATGCAGCTAGGACTCTTTTTTTTTTTTTTTTTTTTTTTTTTTTTAGACAGGGTTTCTTTCCTAGAACTAGGTCTATAGACCAGACTGGCCCCAAACTCACAGAGATCCACCTGCCACCTGCCTCTGCCTCTTGAGTGCTGGAATTAAAGGTGTGCACCACCACTGCTCAGTTACAGCCAGGACTGTTCATCTCTGAGCCATCTCTCCAGCCCTTTCTTGACGAATACTTTGTTGTTATTGCTCACTATGTAGACCAGGCTTTCCTGAAACTCCCCATCTCAGGCCCCAGTGCTGGGATTACAGTCGTGCGCCCCGGGTGCTGGGATTACACCACACCCACCCTTCTGTGCTACTGTATACAGTATATATCATACACATAATTTTTTGTTCCATGTAGTGATTAAAGGGAAAACAGAATAAAAATCACCTAGATTCCTACTGCAAGGAATGATCATATGTCTCCTCTTGTCATCTACCCCTTTAACCCTTTATGTGATCCAGCTGTGGGAAGGGAAAGTGTGGTTAGGGAGTTCCCTGCACTTTAAGGAACTTGTTTTAAAAAAAACTCAAGAGACTTTCCAGGAAGCCAAAATGTTCCTGGGAGGCAAGGGGCATCTTTGAATGTCTGCCTTTTTCTGTGTCTGCTTGTGATGCGGGTGGAGTTCAGGAGCGGACTTTCTTCCTGCCCGGGATTCTCCCTGTGCCAGGGAAACCACAGGAGCCATGGTCCCGGCATTTCCCATCTGCTTCTAAAACAAGGCACAGAGCCAACAGCTTCTGAGCACCTCACGGGCTTCAAGGTCTCACTCACTTTGGTAAAGTTAGTGTACCTCTTTGAATTCAGATCACCCTCACATACTACACGTACTAGAAGGATAAAGAGCTAGCCCAATGGCTTGCAGGGAAGAGGGGCTTACTGCTAAGCCTAAGGATGTGCTGGATCCCTGGTATGCACACGGTTAAAGGAGAGAGCAGATAATTTATTTTAGTACCCCAACAATAAATAAATAGCTATAGTTGTAAAAACAAACAGAAAACAAGGAGAGAATTAGAGCCACCTGCCTGGGGAGTCTGGGGGGACTGAGCAAAACAGGATTCAGGATATAGAGTTCAGATATTCGCACAGCCTGCCATTCTGAGCTAAGTTATAGGCGTGGTCCTTTCCCCGAACACCCCTCCTCTTCCAGGCTTCTTCCACCAAACTCTGCTCAGAGTGGTTTCAGGAAGTAGCATGTGCTGTTTATCCTATTCTCTCAACCTCTCCGGCCCCAGTCCTCCCCTCCGGTACCCCAGGCATTAGCAGTAGAGGCTTTATGAGCAGCTGGAAATCTTGTGGTGCTGGTCACCGTTGGTCCTTGTGTGGAGTCCTGCAAGGTGTCCCCTGGAGTGTGTCACAATCCTGGGAGCTTGAAAGAACCCAGAGTGCAGGGCTGTGGCTGCTGGTAAGTGGCTTTCCCACCCTATGTTTGGGTTTTGGAAAGGGCACTGGAGAGGATATTTCAAGCCTCACTCCCTCTCCTCTCCTCAGACTGGTTTATCAAGGCTGGCAGGGGTGGGGGTGGGGGTGCTTTGGCAGGAAATACACTTCTCCCCAGAGTACCCGAAACTGTCACCTGATAAGGGGCAGTGCTGCAGTTGTATTGAGGAAGCTGCAGTTGTTTTTAATATCTCATTTTTAGTCTACACTTCAGGAGGCCACTTGCTGATAGCTACTGTATGTCTCTTGCCTGCCTCTCCTGCTCCAGGAATACCTCACTCTAGGAGGCCGAAGGTAGGATTAGAAATGGCGCAGTACTGTTCTGGCTCTCCATGGCTGGAGCAACCCTGGGTGGGTGGTTCACATAGGCCACTTTAAGATCTAGGTCTTGGGCAGTTCCTTTCTTTCTTATCACACCAGTGGGCCCAGTAAGGCACGCATGCATGGGTTCTGTTTACAGTATACCTCTCTTAGACAGGTTCTGTGGAATGCTATAAGCCCAGGACATCTCCTAGAGGGGTCTCTATGAGCAGCCTATAGGAATGCCAGGCAACAAGGGATGGGAGTCCCAGGGAGGTGACCAGTCAGGATCTTAGTCTGTGAAGGGCGGGAGGGGACCAGAAACATAGCTGTGGATCTTATTTATTTATTTATTTATTTATTTATTTATTGAGACAAGGTTTCTCTGTAGCTTTGGTGCCTGTCCTGGAACTAGCTCTCTTGTAGACCAGGCTGGCCTCGAACTCACAAAGATCCACCTGCCTCTGCCTCCTGAGTACTGGGATTAAAGGCGTGGGCTACCACTGCCCTGCTCAGCTGTGGATGTCTTAATGCCCGCAGATGCCATATTCCAGTCTGCATCCATCCATCCCACGTCCCAGAGGTAATCGGTCCAAGCAGGCAGCCTTGGTCTTGCTGGTGACCAGCCTGGTGATCCTTTGGGGGCTCGGTGACTCACCGGATCACATTCTCCATTACCTGGTACTCCACCTGGCCTCCCTGCAGCTTGGACGACTGTTGAAAGAGGCCTGCTGTCTGACTGAAGAGCTGCGCCATGTCCACTCCAGGTGACCCTCTGCAGTCCCCACAGAGACTGGGTGCCCAACCAGTGTCACACCCTTCACTCCTAACCTCGGCCTTCCCTGAACCTCACTGGCTGAGCTGGGCTGGGGTCTGAGGTTGGGCTGTTCCCGCAGGTATCAGAGCAACTACAGGAAGGCTGTGCACGCTTGTCTGGGCTGCCCCATCCGCCGTACGGCCCTGCTGGTGCTGTCCTTCTATTTCTGCTACTATTATTTCCCAAAAAATGCTGGCCTGAGTCTCAGTTGGATGCTCCCCTTGCTGGCCCTCTCACAGTCCATCAACATCCTTCTGGGCCTCCAGGTAGGGAGGGCATGGAAGAGGTGGGTGATGGGGGTAGATGGGACTGTGACTAATGCTGAGCTCAGCCCTGGGGAGGAGACTAGTTTAACGCTAAAGAGCCGGGTGTAGAGCTAGGGGGCTTGGGATCATGGGTTTAACAGCAGCAGTGAGACTGGGAAAGCTTCCTGCAAGAGAAGCTGTCCTGTCCCTCTTGGAAGTCCCTCAGGTCCCTCCCACTGTCTACAGAGCCTCGCCCCAGCAGAAATTTCTGCCATCTGTGAAAAAGGAAACTTCAATGTTGCCCATGGGCTGGCCTGGTCATACTACATTGGGTACCTGCGGCTCATCTTGCCAGGTAGGCCACCTGCATCTTCATTCTTAGACAAGATACACGGTTTTTGCTATGCTTTTTGAAGGATTTCCATGTCTACCAAATAATTAAATTATTCCATATGAAGACTGTTAAAAGTTTTAGTGTGATCTTTGAGACAAATGTTTTAAAGTCTTGGGTGCTTAAAACACCCTATGTACTGAGCTGAAGAGTGGCAGCGCACGCTTTTAATTCCAGCACTTGGGAGGCAGACAATCTCTGTGAGTTCGAGGCTAGCCTGACCTACAAAAGGACTTCCAGGACAGCCAGGACTTGTCTCAAAAAACTTGTCTCAAAAAAAAAAAAGCAAAAACAAAAACAAAAAACCCCACACAACCAAACAGAAAAACACCCTATGTATTTGAGAATGACCTTGAATTTCTGATTGTCCTGCATCTATATCCAAACCCTGGGATACAGGTGTGAGCCACTGTACTTGGCTTGTTATTGCTGTTGTTTTGTAATTAATTTGTTGTCTTGAGGATTGAATATGGGGCTTTACACATGCCTAGTAAGCAGTCCTAGTAAGCAGTGGGATATGTGTACACTGTGAAGATATATTGCTGTGGTTGGTGTAATAAAAAGCTGAACAGCCAATAGCTAGGCAGGAGATGTTTGGATATGGTGCAAGAGGACCTTGGTGGGTTCAAGGAGTCCCACGGCAGGTGAGAGCCCAAGGCGGGTAAGAGACAGGCATGTCATGGAAGCAATGCTCATGTGGAGGGGTTTTGTTGAGAGAAAGGGAATGGAAAAGGGAGAGGGAGACCAGCTCTGGGGATAGGAGCTATGGAAGAGAACAGAGAGGCAGAAAGAGAAAAAGACAAAGAGACAGGCAGAGAGAGACAGAGACAGAAATAGGCGGTGCAAAGACCTGCCTGCCTTTTCAGAAGAGCAGCAGGAAAGAGACCGAGACTGGGTGGAGCACATGTGCACAGATTATTATGTAGTGATGTACAGACTGCATAGTGATGTAGCAGGCATAGTGCTCTGGGCTGGCCGGGATACTACCTGAGTGCATCCTGCCAGGTGTCAGGGGGCAGACCAGCATCATGCTTGAATCCCAACAGGAGAGACGGGAAGGACTTGGGGGCAGAGATAGACTGTCTTACTTCTGGCCACGTGGTAGAATGTAGATTAATATAAATGGGTTGATTTAAGTTATAAGAGATGGTTGGGGATGACAAGCCTAAGCTAAAGGCCGAACTTCCATAATTAATAAGAAGTCTCTGTGTCATTTTTTTTTGGTGAGCTGGCAGCCCAAAGAAAACTCCAACTATACCTCTGAGCTACATACCCAAGGGTATCCTTATTATGCCTGGTTCACAGTAATGATTGTGATAAAAGATAATCAAGGCTTTGCCCAGGATCATCTAAGGTTGCTTGTTTTCTTCTTCTTCCTTTAAAAAAAAAAAATATATATATATATATATATATATATATATATATATATATATATATATGAGACAGGGTTTCTCTGTGTTTTTTTTTAAATATTTATTTATTATGTATACAATAGTCTGTCTGTGTGTATGTCTGCAGGCCAGAAGAGGGCACCAGACCTCATTATAGATGGTTGTGAGCCACCATGTGGTTGCTGGGAATTGAACTCAGGACCTTTGGAAGAGCAGGCAATGCTCTTAACCACTGAGCTATCTCTCCAGCCCTCTCTGTGGTTTTGGAGCCTGTCTTGGAACTAGCTCTTGTAGACCAGGCTGGTCTTGAACTCACAGAGATCCTTCTGCCTCTGCCTCCCGAGTGCTGGGATTAAAGGCGTGCGCCGCCACCACCGCCCGGCCCCCCCTTAAAATATTTTATTTAGGACTGGAGAGTTGGCTCAGAGGTTAAGAGCACTGACTGTTCTTCCGAAGGTCCTGAGTTCAATTCCCAGCATCCACATGGTGGCTCACAACCATCTGTGATGAGATCTGGTACCCTCTTCTGGCCTGCAGGTACACATGTAGGCAGAATACTATATATAATAAATAATAAAAATATATTTTATTTATGCGGGTGTGTGCACAGAGGTCAGAGGACAACACGTGGAGTCTGTTCTCTCTTTCCACGGTCTTGAGGCAGAGGCAAGGTCTGTCTTGTTTCTACTGCTGCACAGTCCTGTCATGGCCTCCGATTTCTCGATTGCAGTGCTGCGATTACAGACAGACTTTCTCGCCTTTTACATGGTTCTGGGGATCAAATTCACTGTGTCAGCCTTTGCAGCATTACCTGCTGAGCCATTTCCCCAGTCTTTTTAAAAAGATTTATTTAGTTAGTGAGTTACTTTCCAGACAGGGTTTCTCTGTGTAGTCCTGGATGTCCTGGAACTCACTTTGTAGACCAAGCTGGGCTCAAACTCAAAGATCCCCTTGCCTCTGCCTCCCAAGTACTAGGGTTTAAGGCATGCACCACCACCACCCAACAAATATTTATTTGTAACTTACATCTGTGAATGTGTGCCTGCATGAATTACGTGTGCTATGTGCTTACAGGTACACTGTGTAGCCAGGCAGTCCTTAGACTGGCAATTCTCTTCCTGCCTTAATCCTCTAAAAGTTAGGACTACAGGTGTGTGCCACTACAGACGACTTTCTTTGCATGATCCCCTTCTTCTTTCTTCCTTTGTCTTTTGAAACAGAAATTCGCTACGTAACCCTGGCTGGCCTGGAACCCATATGTAGGCCAGGCGGGCCTTGAACTTGTGTTCCTTTTGACTCTTAACTGAGATTACAGACATGTGCCATCCTACTTGGCTTTTCTTTTGTTTTTCTTTTTCTTTCTTTCTTTTTTTTGGGGGGGGGGATGTGTTCCAATACAGGTTTTTCTGTGTCACAGTTCTAGCTGTCCTGGAACTAGCTCTTATAGACCAGGCTGGCCTCGAACTCACGGAGATCCACCTGCCTCTGACTCCTGAGTGCCGGGATTAAAGGTGTGCGCCACCACCACCTGGCACTTTTTTGTTTTTTAAAATTTCCTTGTGTAGGTGTTCTGCTGCATGTGTGTCAGTGTACCATGTAAGTGCCTGGTGCCTGAAGGGGGCAGAAGAGGGCACTGGTCCCCTGGAGCTGGAGAGACAGATGGTTAAACAGCCATGAGCTCAGCCCCTTCAGAAGCGCAGCAAGTATGGGTTAACTTCCGAGCTAACTCTCCAGCCCCGTGAAAAATATTTATAACATGCTAGATCCCCTCATGTTCCTTTTCTCTTTAAGTTCATATACTATAGGGGATGATTATCATTTATATTTCATTTTAATATTGTTTTCTTTAAAATTTATATATTTAAGGGCCTGGAGAGATGGCTCAGTGGTTAAGAGCATTGCTTGCTATTCCAAAGGTCCTGAGTTCAATTCCCAGCAACCACATGGTGGCTCATAACCATCTGTAATGAGGTCTGGTGCCCTCTTCTGGCCTTCAGGCATACACGCAGAAAGAATATTGTATACATAATAAATAAATAAATATTTTTTTAAAAAAAGAACTAAAATTTATATATTTAATTAAAAGTTTTCCTTTATTAAAGCTAATGAGTTGATTTCTTGGGCTTCCCTACTGCAGGGCTCCAGGCCAGGATCCGACTGTTCAATCAGCAACACAACCACATGCTACGGGGAGCAGGGAGCCGAAGGCTGTATGTTCTCTTCCCATTGGACTGTGGGGTGCCCGATGACCTGAGTGTGGCTGACCCCAACATTCGCTTCCGAGATAAACTGCCCCAGCAAAGCATAGACCGTGCTGGCATCAAGAATCGGGTTTATTCCAACAGTGTCTATGAGCTTCTAGAGAATGGGCAGCCAGTAAGTGTACAGAACTGGGCTTGGGGAAAAGGCTCATTTCCCTAGGATCCTGGATCCTTAGCCACACGCTGGTAAGAACTCATTACTCTTTTTTGAGCCTGGCTGCACAGCTGGTCCCAGGACAAGGCGAGATTCAGTTATGAACTACATTGAGAAGTAACATTCACAGAGCATTTACCATATACCAGAAGCTAGTGTATGTGCACCGATGGCCACCTCTAAACCACCAACCTGTGGGGCTGGGGCTGGTGTGATCGCTACTTCTACAGTGGAGGAAAGTGAGGCTCAGAGATACAGTAATGAAGGTTGTGAGAGCATTTGAAGAATTGGGTGTGGGTGTGGGGAAGCAAACCCCCAGAGCACTCCCCCAGACTCCATTTTCAGCCAGGATACCATGCTCGAGGATCATGGGGAAGGATCTGTGAAGGGTGTTTAGGGCAGCCCGGGCCTTAAGCTAGGAAGGGGGCATTAGAGGCCTTAGTAGGGCAATCATGTCCTAGGACTCGTTCTGCAGACTGAGGGAGTAGCGAGGGCCATAGCCTATGGCGTCAGGTCCCCAATTCATCTGTTAGGGTCTTGGCTTGTTTAATCTCGTTCTCACCTCCTCCAGGTAGGCGCCTGTATCCTGGAGTACGCCACTCCCTTGCAGACCTTGTTTGCCATGTCACAGGATGGGAAAGCTGGCTTTAGTCGGGAAGATCGGCTTGAGCAGGCCAAACTCTTCTGCCGGACACTTGAAGACATCCTGGCTGATGTCCCTGAATCTAAAAACAACTGCCGCCTCATTGTCTACAAAGGTAAGACACTGCCAGGGTTGGAGGGCAGAAATCAGGAACTCCAGTATCTCACAGAGGGTCAGAGAACAAGGAGGCAGAGTTTTCTGGGCTTTGCCATGTGGTCAAAGGGGTCAAAGGGGTCATGCCATGCCCTTGCCTCCTCTGGTAGATGTCTTCTCGCCACCTGAATGTGGCCAGCCTTGACGCCGTGGCCTTTAGACAGGTCTTTGCCTTTTCTGAGCATCATCTCTAGAAGCAGGAGGGTGGGCTTCCATGACCTACAACTACTTCTAGCTGAGCTCTGCCCCCCCCCCCCCCGCAGGCTGTGGGGTAGATGGGTAGAGGGAAGGGGGCTGAGGCTGAAGGCTTGCCCCAACAGTCCCTAAGGGTGCATGCATCCTTGTTGGGAGTGTGTAAGGTCCTCACCTAACCCCCACTCTACATCCCTGTTCCAGAGCCTCAGGAGGGAGACAGCTTCTCCCTGTCTCAGGAGGTTCTCCGGCATATTCGTCAGGAAGAGCGGGAGGAAGTGGCCATGAATGACCTCCAGACCTCAGTGGTGTCCCGTTCTCACTCTTCTGTGCTGTCCCAAGAGCCGAGACTCCTCATCAGTGACATGGAGCAACCGCTCCCACTCCGCACAGACCTCATCTGAGGCACGGGGCAGCCTTGTCTGAGCTGCTGGTGATCCTTCAGCATCCTGACTGGGGCTTCCCTCGTGACTGAGTGGGTGATCGAGGGGGCTTCCCTCAGTGACTGAGGGGGTGACTCACAGAGATCTCACATCTCCCGACGAGTCCCACATTCCTGGGTGAGCCATTGTATGTCTCTCTCTGAGCCTGAGCCTACTCCCCTATGGAATGGGATCATAGGGTTCTTATGAGGACTAACCATGTAGAAACTTGGTGTCACTTGCCAGGTAAAACTAAGATAGGTCAAGTATTTGCCACCATCGATGCTCTAGCATTCTCTGGTCCTTGTTGTCCTGTCTGGATGGGACCAGCAGACCAGCTTCTGGTCATATGTGTTCAATGGGAGCTTCAGCAGGTGAATGGAGGGAGGGAGGGAGGCGCATTAGGAACATGCGTTCTGTTCGCTGTATGTAATCACAGTGGGCTGTCCTGCCAGGCCACCTTCTCAGTAAGCATATCTATTCTCAGGGTTTTGGAGGAGCCTCTTCCCCTTGCCCCTAGCACTGGTATTTGTGTGACACTGACGAACTTACTCTCTGTGGTCTCTTTACATCATGTTCCTTGTATGTGGTCCTCTTAAAGACACCGCTCAGATTACACCATCTTTCTGCAGCTAGGCTGTGACTGCTATACAGACCTGGCACGCATCGTCCGTGTCTGGCTGCATATACAACACACTTCCTGCACTCTTCCTTATCCTGCTACAGGGGAGCAGGAGATAGTTGTCATTTCAACCCAGATGGAGCCCACCAGGCACACGAGGGCACACCCCACCTTTGCTTTCAGTGTCCTTGCCTCCGGAGCCAGGGCTGAGTGGCGCTAGCACATGGATGCCACCGGTGGTACACAGCTGTGTCTCGGGGAAGTGACCATTCGAAGAAGCGGAGGCCACTGACCAGACGTTCTCTAGTGAGAGTTGTGAGAGGATCAGGGAGGAAGAATATGTTCCCTGGGGACACTGGAGGACATGTCACTGAGCCCACCTTTGGTGGCACTGCCACCCCACGTGGGAGGGCAGATAGTCCACCTACCCGTTCCACCTAGGCTTTACATGCAGCCTCCCTCTACCTTCGTTTCCTTCACCCCGGCTCAGGGTGTCACTTTGTATTTCTTTCTCTTTGTTTTATGTGTATGTGTTTTCTCCAAAACTGAGAATCAAGAGTTGTGGTCTTGTTCACACAGGCAAACCCTCTACCACTGAGAGCCCTCAGCCCTCATATGTTTCTGAAATGTCACTTTGGAGAAGTCATACACATGCACACACACGCGCACACACTCACACACGTCAGAGGAAACCAGTCACTCTGAGGATAGCAGAGCCAGGGAAATCAACTGGGGGATAGTCCCTTCTCTTCCTGACCGTCACAGTCATCTTGCCCCCAACACTGAGGAGCCTGTATCATAGCCAATGTTCCTTCTCCAGAAACCAGCCCAGAATCAAGGGCCTCCCCACCTTGACTGTGTTCAATTTACCAGTCCCCAGGATGGTTCCTAGACTGTGGAGCTGGTAAAGCTCAAGTTCAAATACTGACGTCATTGCTTGGTACCTGTGTGTTCACCGTGGTGTTTTGGTTTTTTTTTTAGACAGAATTTCTCTGTGTAGCCCAGGCTGGCCTTGAACTCACTGTATATGATCAATTGGTCTTGAATTCAGAGATGCATCTGCCTCTGCCTCCTGAGTACTGGGATTAAAGGCATGCACCACCACAACTAACCCCTCCCCCTTTTCTTAATAAACAGCGTGTTCCTCAAACTTGCTGTGTCATTGAGAATGATCCTGAACTTCTAATCCTCCTGTCTCCATCTCTCAAGTACGAGGATTAAAAGACTGTACCACCACGCCCAGTTTATATGGTTTATGTCTGCATGTTTCTGACTGCATATGAGTGAGGTGTGGAGGTACCAGAGAAAGGGGCGCCTTTCCAGAGAGCCACCAGGAGGCCCGACTTGGTTTCCCGGGCCCCAGTCTATATTTTTCTGACTAATTCCCTGCCGGGATAGACCCAAACAAGTTCCACAGAGTTCCTCTTCTTTTCCTGGTTTCCCGCTAGCTGGAATTTTCTGGATCCGGAAGTGATTTGGAATACATTTTAGGCTTATTCCAACAAGCCCACACTCATTCAAAAAGTAAGAGGTAATAAGAGCCCCCAAACTCCCCCATCACATCCTAGGATGGCAAGGCAGATTTGGGGGACAAACCAAGGCCAATCTTGGAATCTAAGTGGAGATTAAGAATTCCAGGGGCTTTGGGTGTCATCCACAAGCCTCCTTTCCCGGCACCCAGTGTCTCAGAGAAGACACGGCACAGTTCTCGCCTGAGTTCTCCTTGGATCAGCAGTGTGTAGAGGCAGGGCCTTCTCTGTAGACCTGATATCCCTGCGCAGGGATGGAACCTTCTCTTTATTTCAAAAGGGATGGAGATCAGAAGTATAGGGAGGGAACAGGAACTCTGAGGAGTATCTGGAGATCCCTGAGGGGAACCTTGTAAGGGTGATCTTGGCACCATGTCTGTGGGCAAGGTCCTCAAGTGGCTTTTATTTCTCTTGTCACCATGGAGCTTTCTCATTAAATATCTGAGGGTTGCTCTCGCCGAGTCCAGAGGACTGTCTGTAGTCCAACACCCAGGTTCCAATTCACTTTTCAGTCCAGTTTCTTGTTCTGAGAATAGTCAGGCCAACTCCAAATGACCCTCCTACAGATATGTGACTTCATCAACGCTCGGCCTGTGTCCATCTAGGGCAGAGCCGGAGTGAGGGATAGGAAGTCCCGGCTGGGTTTCTCTGTGATTGTCCTGTAGGTCCAGCAGCCGCCAGTGGATGAGGTAAATGCCATTCTCTGGCTTTAGAGCTGGTGGCTCTGTGAGGAGAGTGGCATGGCCCTGGTGCAATGTGGGCCCAAAGTGAACCGCCAACACAATGCAGATCGCTAAGAGAACAAAGGCAGCGATGATTGCAGCGACAAAGGGCAGCCCGTCCCCTCGCGGTGCTTCCCAGACCTCACCTAGCATCTCGGGGAGCCGCCTTTGAGGCTCCTGTTCCAATGACCCATTCACAGGTGGAGAAGGCTGAGGATAGTGGCCATCCTGGGGGAAGAGGAGAGATGACAGAGGTTGATGTGGGTATGAACATACAGAAAAAGTCAAAGGAGCCGGGCGGTGGTGGTGCACGCCTTTAATCCCAGCACTCGGGAGGCAGAGGCAGAAGGATCTCTGTGAGTTCGAGGCCAGCCTGGTCTAGAAGAGCTAGTTCCAGGACAGGCTCCAAAACCACAGAGAAACCCTGTCTCGAAAAACCAAAAAAAAAAAAAAAAAAAAAAAAAAAGTCAAAGGAGAGGAGGGATCTAAGAAACAGAAAATGTGTGTGTGTGTGTGTGTGTGTTTGTGTAATCACACACACTCATAAGAACAATAAACTGGGGGCTGGAGAGATGGCTCAATGGTTAAGAACACTGGTTGTTCTTCCAGAGTACCTGGGTTCAATTCCCAGCACCCACATGGCAGCTCACAACTGTCTGTAACTCCAGTTCCCGGGGACCCAATACCCATGGCAAAACACCTATGTGCACAAAGTAAAATTAAATAAATAAAAAAAAGAACAATAAACTGAAAGACAAAGACCTGGGGAGCTACAGGAATGGGGGTGGGAGGCAGAGAAATAGACAGTAACAGAAAAACAGCCACCCCTGAAAGACTGTGTAAAGTCACTCAGGAAAGGCAGAGGAAGAGGCTTTATTATAGTCTGGCGTAGTAAATACAGTTTGTCTCCAAAGTTTCCCTTCACTGCTTCCTCTTCCCAGGTCTCCAGCAAGAGTCACAGATACATTAATCCCAGCACTCGGGAGGCAGAGGCAGGCGGATCTCTGTGAGTTCGAGACCTGCCTGGTCTACAGAGCTAGTTCCAGGACAGGCTCCAAAGCCACAGAGAAACCCTGTCTCGAAAAACAAAAACAAAACAAAACAAAAAAAAAACAAAAAACAACCAACCCACCAAACAAACAAACAAACAAACAAAAAAAGAGTCACAAATACATCCTGGGTTGTGCTCGAAATCTGAGTACTCTTTGGGCTGCTGCCCCACATCCCGGGCAGTGGGCAGTGAGCAGAGAGCAGCAGCTGCCTTGAGATGTTCTGGAGAAAGGGAGTTGTCCAGTCTTAGGGGCTCTCCTGTTCTAAGTCACTGAGGAGCAGAAAGGCGCTACCCTGAGCTGGGATAGGAGGAGGGGACATGAGCCCCAGAAATTTGGTCTGAGGTGGGATGTGTGCCCATACTTACATCCCATATGTATGTCCCCTTTCCCCTAGGGCTTGGGGCCAAGTTCAAGGGGCCTAGATAGGACTGGAGTCGGGTGTAGATTCCTGGCTATGCCCAGGATGGGTTGACATCCTGCACCAGTCATCTACCCTTGCCAGGATCTTATGTCTCCTTGCTGAGGACATAACCCATGTCACTAGTGTGTCCCAACCCTGCTGGATGTTGAGTAGGGACAGGGGATCTCAGTAAAGGATGAGAAGTCCAGAGTTAGTGAGGTGGCCTCCCCCTCCAGTCGTCATTCTACTGTATACTGGGAATTGGGGGTCTCTCTAACTCTGAGCCTTAAGCCTGGCCCACTCTCTGGACAGTTGGAGCTATGAGATCAGACAAAAGTATTTCCTTTAGTCCGTCAGTCACAATGTCCCTAAATTCCAACTCAATACTGCTGCCCATGCAGAGCTGAGTGGGGGCCTGGGGGGTTGTTATGGGCCTCCCCACAGGGGCACAAAAACAACCCCAGGTGTAGAAAGGGAGAAGGAAGCTTAGGTTGGGAAAGGTGTGGGGCCCCATAGGGAATCAGGCCAGGTGGGCAGGAAGGGGCAAGCAGAGTCTACCTGGTGCATTGTCCGGGGCTGGAGCAGAGTTCCCTTGGGACTGGATACCAGCTGGGCAAAGGAAGAGAGCTCACTGCCTAGCTCAGCCCCTACCCGGAGCTGCCACGTCTGCCGTGCTCTAGGCACACACCCTCTGCACACACCCTCACTATTCTTTCCCGCGCCTGTCCTTACAGAAACATCTAGGCTTCCCAGGGCCAGTCTTCAACTCTGAGAGTACCTTGATCTTCCTCCTAGCCACTTCCTTGAGTGCCTCCTGCATGCCCTGCCCACGCCTCCTCCTGCATATTCCAGTTACTCCCTCCCTAGGACCTGCCCATGCTCCTGCTCTCATTTCCTGAAGCCAAGGCCCTCTGCTCTTTCCTTGTTATACGTAAAATATCAAGCACTCTGATCGCACATCCTACATAATATCCTGGATATAATGCCCTCGATCACTGTAGCCTAACAGCTCTGTCTGTAATATCCTGGATATAATGGCCCTCGATCACTGTAGCCTAACAGCTCTGTCTGTAATATCCTGGATATAATGGCCCTCGATCACTGTAGCCTAACAGCTCTGTCTGTAATATCCTGGATATAATGCCCTCGATCACTGTAGCCTAACAGCTCTGTCTGTAATATCCTGGATATAATGCCCTCGATCACTGTAGCCTAACAGCTCTGTCTGTAATATCCTGGATATAATGCCCTCGATCACTGTAGCCTAACAGCTCTGTCTGTAATATCCTGGATATAATGCCCTCGATCACTGTAGCCTAACAGCTCTGTCTGTAATATCCTGGATATAATGCCCTCGATCACTGTAGCCTAACAGCTCTGTCGTCCATGTTTTGCTTTACCACATTTATTTCTAAAATGTTAAGAACTAAACTACTTTTTTTTTTTTGATTTTTTTTTTTTTTTTGATTTTTCGAGACAGGGTTTCTCCGTAGCTTTTGGTTCCTGTCCTGGCACTAGCTCTTTCTAGACCAGGCTGGCCTCGAACTCACAGAGATCCGACTGCCTCTGCCTCCCGAGTGCTGGGATTAAAGGCGTGCGCCACCACCGCCCGGCTCTAAACTACTTTTCTAAATTTATTTTAATTTTTTATTTATTGTGTGACTGTTTTTGTGCACATGCATGGTGTATATGGGGGCCCTTGCGTCATGCAGGTGTGTGGAGGTCAGAGGTCAGCTTTGTGGAGCTGGTTCTTTTCACCTTTATGTTGATTCATGGGAGCAAACTCAGGTTGCCAGGCTTGCACAGTAAAAACCTTTATTTGTCAGGCCATCTATTATTGTTGTTCTTGTTTTGAGACAGGGTCTCTCTATGTAGCCCTGGCTGTCCTGGAACTCACTATATAGACCAGGCTGGCCTCGAACTCACATGGATTAAAGGCAAATCCCAGCACTAGGGAGGCAGAGGCAGGCGGATCTCTGTGAGTTCGAGGACAGCCTGGTCTACAAGAGCTAGTTCCAGGACAGGCTTCAAAGTTACAGAGAAACTGTCTTGAAAAAAAATCCAAACCAAACCAAAACAAAAAAAATAAAGACTTGGGTCACCACTGCCCAGCCACACCATTTTCATAAAGTGTATAGATATATAAACATCGGCTGAGGGTAGCTGGTACATCTACCTTTTTTTTTTTTCAAGGGTAAGAGGGGTAGGTAGGGGTCTTTCTGGTATAAACCACAAACCTGTTAGACAAGTTGGAAATGAGCTGTACACCTCACTGTAAAGATTTGTTCTTTCTCTGTGCTGAGAACAAAGACCTAAAGAGGAACTAGTAAAACAGAAATCCCAGGCTGATGAGCTGGCTCATCTGGTAAGGTGCTTGCTGCCAAGGCTGATGACCTGAGTTTGGTCACCAGGATCCACATGGTAGAAGAGACCTGACTCATTCCTGTGTCCTCTGACACACAGTTGAATGTACCCGCCCCCATACACATGCAAAATAAATAACTTTTTTAAATAAATAACTTTTACAATATTTAATAATATATATTAAGAATCCTCACTTCTTCACTTCTTTACCCCACCACACTTTTTTTAACCTTATGATAAACAGACACCTATAAAACTATGATTTAAGGGCTGGAGAGATGGCTCAGAGGTTAAGAGCACTGACTGCTCTTCCAAAGGTCCTAAGTTCAATTCCCAGCAACCACAAGGTGTCTCACAACCATCTGTAATGAGGTCTGGCGCTTTGTGGCCTGTAAGCATACATGTTGGGAGAACACTGTATATATAATAAATAAATACATCTTTAAAAAACAAAAGAGACGCCGGGCGATGGTGGTGCAGCCGGGCGATGGTGGCACATGCCTTTAATCCCAGCACTTGGGAGGCAGAGGCAGGTGGATCTCTGTGAGTTCGAGACCAGCCTGGTCTACAGAGCTAGTTCCAGGACAGGCTCCAAAAACCCTGTCTCGAAAAAAAACCAAAAAAAAAAAAAAAAAAAAAGAGAGAGAGAGAGAGAGAGAGAGAGAGAATCTTTTCTGTTTTCTTTTTTAAAGATTTATTTGTTTGACATATATGAGTGCTTTATTTGGGCTGGAGAAATGGCTCAGTGATTAAGAGCACTGCCTGCTCTTCCAAAGGTCCTGAGTTCAATTCCCCACAACCACATAATGGCTTACAACCATCTATAAAGAGATCTAGTGTCCTCCTGAGGAAGAGACCTGGTCAGTTGTCCTCATCAACTTAGACAAGTTCAACAGAACTGTCATCTACAGGCTGCCCATGCCTGCCTCAGCATTGGCAGGGCAGACATTTCATTCATTCATTCAGTGCCCTATTTGCATGTATGCCTTTATGGCAAAGAAGACATCAGATCCTGCAGTAGGTAGTTTTGAGCCACCGTGTGGTTGCTGGGAATTGAACTCAGGACCTCTGGAAGAGCAGGCAGTGCTCTTAACCACTGAGCCATCTCTCCAGCCCCTTCTCTCTGGGTTTTGTTTACTTGTTTTGTTTTTGTTCTTTTGAGTTTTTAGGCATAGGGTTTTTTCTGTGTAGTCCTGGCTGTCCTAGAACTTGCTCTGTAGACTAGGCTGACCTTGAACTCACAGAGATCCACCTGCCTCTGTTTCCTGAGTGCTGGGATTAAAGGTTTATGCCATCACTGCAAAACATCTTTCTGGGGGGCTGGAGAGATGGCTCAGTGGTTAAGAGCATTGCCTGCTCTTCCAAAGGTCATGAGTTCAATTCCCAGCAACCACATGGTGGCTCACAACCATCTGTAATGAGATTTAGTGCCCTCTTCTGGCCTGTGGACACACACAGACAGAATATTGTATACATAATAAATAAATAAATAAATATTTAAAAAAAATAAAAAAAAACAAAACATCTTTCTGGTTTTTTTAAAATATTTATTTATTATATATACAATGTTCTGTCTGTATGCCTGCAGGCCAGAAGAGGGCACCAGACCTCATTACATATGTTTGTGAGCCACCATGTGGTTGCTGGGAATTGAACTCAGGACCTTTGGAAGAGCAGGCAATGCTCTTAACCGCTGAGCCACCTCTCCAGCCCCCCTTTCTGGTTGTTTTTGAGAAAAGGTTTCATGTAGATTAGATTGGTCTTAAACTTGCTATGTAGCTAAGAACTTAAACTCCCAATCTGTCTGCCTCCACACCCTGAGTGCTAGGATGGTAGGCCATGACCAGTTATTTGTGTTTTGTTTGAGACAGGGTCACATTAAGTAACCCAGGCTGATCTCAAGCTCAGTACTCTCCTGCCTCAGACTCCTGAGGACTAGAATTACAGGTGTACACCGCCCTGTTGTAGGAGGCCACTTGTTTGTTCCTGGCTGCTCAGCCCTGAAATATCCTCACAGAAACTATATTAATTAAATCACTGCTTGCATGGCCTATTAGCTCTAGCTTCTTATTGGCTAGCTCTTATATCTTAATTTAACCCATTTCTTTTTAAAATTTATTTATTATGTATATAGTGTTCTGGGCACCAGATCTCATTATAGATGGGTGTGAGCCATCATGTGGTTGCTGGGAATTAAACTCAGGACCCCGGGAACAGCAGTCAGTTCTCTTAACCTCTGAGCCATCTCTCCAGCCCCATTTCTATTTTATATTTTACAACAAGGCTCATGACCTACCACCAAGTTTCCAGCTGGCAGCTCACGTCTTTTCCCCTCTGGTGGCTAAGCATCTTTAACTCCAGTTCCAGAAGGTCTGACGCCCCCTTCTGGCCTGAGAGTGCACTCCATGCGCGTGGTATACAGGCTATACATACAAGTACAATATCCATACACATTAAAATACAAATAAATACATCTTTAATATGTATGTATGTGTGTATCTTCCAACCTGGCTCTATTCTGCTAAGCCATTTATTGCAAGCAGCTTCTTTATTCATTAACCAATAAAAGCAACACATATACACATAATAAAATCACCACACTTCCTGGACTAGTTTTTCCAAGGTAATTTTTGGTACCAACTAGCTACCCATAATAAGCCATTCCTCATCTTGCCCCTGGGTGCAAATTGGCCTCTATTCACATGGAGATCAGTAGACTCCAGAAGACCCCCTCACCTAGTGACTTGAAGCAGTAAGTATCAATAGCTTTTTGATTTCTTGCTTCTTATCCAAGCTGCCCACACCCTGTCACCTCCACTGAGTCTAGGATATTGACCTGACCCTCAAATTCCTGAAGCCTCTTGGTGGCGGGGATGAAATCTACTGATCATTTCCCCACGGAATCGAAGGTTCTGATGATCTTCTGCACCCCCACCCCCACATACCTTGGTCCTTTTGTATCTTAGAAAGATGCAATCTGGACTTTGCCCCAAGTCAAGACTTTCACTTGTGAAGAAGAGAGTGGACTTTCTGGCCTCAGGCTTCTCCATCACTTGCCCGTATCCACACTCACCATTACAGCTGTCCCTCTCCCTTTGGCGTCTAAGCCTTTGCCCTCTTGGCAGCTGGGGCATCAGCCTTTCCTGGAATGTGTTCTTCTGCTCCTGAGGCCAGAGAAACCTTTTTTTCTCCTTAAACTCTATACAAGTGTGTTTCTTACCTGTTACTAACATTTGCTTTTATCGTGTATGTGATGTGTGTGAACTTGCGTGCGTGTGCATGTTCATGTGTGTAAGTGTGGGTGTGCCTGTGAGCCAGCATTTACGCGGAGGCAGAGGACAACTCGGGTGTCACTTCCAACCCCGCCTCTGTTTGCCGCTGCCTGTGCCGGGCTCGCTGGCCTGAAGCTT